GAAGGCATGGATAGGATATTAGAGGCTTCATAGAGACCCCTTATATAAATCATGTTGTTGTGTATATGCTTATAAAAACATCATTAAATACAGGGTCTGAAAAAACTACAGAAAGGCATAACAATGATTCAATTCTGGGGAAAAGTAGTRCTTGATTGAGATCAGGAACCCCCCTTCCAGGCCCTGTCATAACATTTTTGCTCCAAACCAGCACAACACAATTTTATTGCATTCTTAAAGTTGCGTATTTTTACTGATTGAGACGTCAGTGTATAATTAAAGGTGTCCTATCTATCTATCTACAACAAATACTATAATTTGACCTGTGAGTTTGCCTTACTCTGACTTAGGTCAACCCAACCCAGGATTTGTACACGTATTAATTAATATTTTTGTATTCTCTTTAGCTCCACCATCCTTATGAAATAGGTACAATGTAACTGCTCCCAACTCACTAGGGGTGAAAACCCCACTGTTTCAAGTTTGAGGTCCCAAAGTGAAAGAATAGTCAAGGAATTTGACGCAGCCATGTATTTAAATCATGCAAGAAGCTTACCAGATATATACTGCAGATGACAATGCATTTCTTATTTAACATCGACATAGAAGTAATGCATTAGAGAAATTTGTTTGCAACATAGAAGGTAGTGGTGATGATAATTGGTTTATATGTGTATTTAACTATGTATGGCTTTTTATAATGATTATATACTGTTATTTTCATAAACATGTGAACTTGCTAGATCCGAACTGCCAATACCTTTTTTTGGCTTTTCATTGCCATCAGTCAAGAATATGAAAGGTACCGACTGATTAGGTTTGATTGATGGCAGCGAAAAACCAAATTTTAGTCGCCACTAGCGAGTTAGCATGCCTGTGAAAATAATAGTAGTAACATGCTTTTACCATGCTTTTCCTTAAGATTAAGTTTAAGATCAAATTTAAAGCTAAAAGCAAAATCAAGGCAGGAAAATGAATGAGAGCATGAATAAAGCAACAACATCTAGTTCTGTAAAACATGGTAAAAACAAGAACAATAGCTAAACTTACACAACAACCCAATGTATCCCGTGATGCACTGGGAAAAAATGGTTCAAGTCACTAACTTGATATGTATGTTGAGTGTATATATTTTTCAATACCCATGCAGTTACAGTGGATATACTCGGTGGTGCCTATAATATTCAAGCCTCCACAATATAACAAGTTATTTACAGGCATTTCATTGTCAGTATTTTTCGCTAGGGATTTTGCTTCTGTCTGCAATAGCAAGGTGTCTGTAGATTGAGTTGACTGTAGGTTATCTTTTGAACCTTTATTTTATTTCCTGTAAAAGAATACTTTATGATACCAGCAACTTTGTTACCTCACTCAAGGTTACTTGACGAGTAATATTTAGTTATCAACTATTTAATTGTAAAAAAAAACTTAGAATTCACTCATAAACCAAATAAAGACGCATTGAGGTATTTCCTTTTTGCTCCCAATGTTTTGCTCAAGTTAATTTCGAAATTAATGGGTTCGACTGAATTCAGTTCATGGTTGGTTCGACGTTTGCCGTGGCTAATTGGGTACAGCTATCGGTTTCCCCGCGCTTCACACCATTCCTTTAAATGTTTGGATACGCGGGTACGCAAAGTAGAAGACCCCCCCTCCACTACATTGGGGAAAAAAGACATTTTGTTGCACAATAAACGCCACCACTCCAGCATATACCTACATATCTATAGGGGGAGGGGTGGTCCTCTTCACTGCGTATCCACTCCAACATATACCTTCATATCTATAGGGGGAGGGGTGGTCCTCTTCACCGCGTATCCGGCACTCGAACACATACCTCTCCGTATCCGCGTATCCAATCAAACATAAAGAGGAACGCTCATGAAGTGCGTGGTATTCGATAGTTACTACCCTTAAATAACGCAGGACATGAAATCAAAAGAGAAAGATTGAAGAATCGAAAATGCGCTGGTGTTRTTGAAGTCTCTTGTATCACGCTCGCTCGGTCAAGTAAATTATGAATTAAATGTTTGAATAAGGAATATAAAACGCGCGCGCATGCCTCTGTACTGTGATATAAACGCGCTGTTAGCTGTAGAGCACGAAAGAATCAAGTTTAGGTACAAGAGGCGTTGCTTTCATAAAAACGTTTTGAACAATAATTTTGTACGAGTGTGTCTCTGCCCTCATGTATAATCATGGTAGCTAGCTAATCAGCGCACGCGTTATATCTAAAATATTTTATAAATATAACTTGAACCGTTCAAAGTAAGTCCTTTTGCTTAAATTAAAAAAAAAAAATCTGACGATTGTGTCTTTTGCGGCATTAGTATATTAGCGCAAGGTATTATGGGTATCAATACAGATATCCCATCAGCCCTTTCGGTGCTACATCAAAAACATGGCGGACTTTGAGGACAAGATAAAGTTGTTAAAAGAGAAGAAAACACGCTATTTAAAAGGTAAAAAACGTCCAGAACCTAGGAAGAACCCTTGAATAATTTAAGTTAGATTCGTTTACTTCTCTATAGACCTTTCTTTGTGATATTTGTCGTGTTTTCGTTGACTTAGCGAGTGTTTGTTTGACCACGTGAAATTACTCGGATGCCGTGGTCGAAAAAACTTGTTCCAACATACATTTTTTCTTCGTAGGATGGTTTTCTTAGCTATGAACAGGTTTAAAGATGTTTATTGATACGTTTTCGAATGTTTTTGCTCAATTCTCTTTTTCTTTCAAAGAATTTAAAAAACTATTTTTTCTTCAAGACCAAAACGTATCTTTACCAACCCCTCCCTGGAGAACAAAAAAACAAAACAACATTCTCTACTTTCACATC